GGGTTCGCCTCGTGGAACATGCGCCGGCCACGGGGTTGCACCGGCGCCGATGCCAGGGCTCTGGCCGCTGCACCGCCTCTTGACCTAGCTGTCGGCCCTCCATTTCACAAACCCAACAGGACTTCAAGGCGTACACCAAGCTCCGCATCGAGCGCATGAACGCGCGCCTGGTGGGCGTCCGCGCCAAGCGCGCCAAGGAGGCCGAGGCCGCGGAGAAGGAGAACGCCTAGATCACGCGCGGCTGGCCCACAGCGGCGGCGGCGGCGGCGGGCCGCTCGGACGCCGGCGTCCGGACCCTTTTGGCTGGCTTGCTGTAACCGCACCTGCTGATGGCATTTGGGATGGCAGCGGCAGCGGGCAGCGGCCTTAGAGAAGCTGCAGGCCGTTGTGGCAATTGGTGGGGTTGAAGGTGCTAATGAGTCGCCAGCCGAGGATGCAGGTGTGCAGCGTTTAGCAGTGGAGGACTGGACGAATGAGCATTGCAGAATCAACAACAGTATAAACCCCAAGCTGCCCATTCATCAAGGTCGCGGTGAGGCGCGTGTGCAAGGGCGTAGGCTTGCGTAGTTGGGGGAAAGTGGGGGTGCTGGCGGCCCGCCCCTAGGCGGTCCCAATTTTGGGCCTCAACCACATCACTGGGGACACACTGCCCCAGACCACAGGATTAATGTGATAAGGTTAGGCTGGCGGTGCCTTGGCATGCACTGAAAGAAATCCTTGGTATGGTAAAGTTGCGCGATGTGCAGGGCCAGTTGAGTTTGCGCAGGCGTTGTAAGCAGTGAAGGGGCCAGCCAAGCGGGGCATGACTCAGCAGTGACGTAGGCACGCAGGTTCCGCTTTTGCAGTCTCTCGCAGGAGCGCCAGCCCAGGGCTGTGTCGTATCAGCGTCTGCGCTTTCTCTGCTTTGTGAGATGGTCAAATATGCAGCTTTCCCCCAACGCACTTCTTGACGGGTGAAGAACGGCTGAGCTGGTGCAATTCTTGAATTGCGATCTCCATGCGCTGTATAATACATCTGTGCAGGCACCTGCGTGTAACCACACTTGCGTTATAACCAGACTGGCGCAGGTGACGTGTGCGTGCTGCCAGCAGCAGTGATTGGAAGCGTCACAGGTTTTTGTTGATGCAACAGGTGCAATTACAGCAGGCAGAGGCCAATTTTGCTTGGGCCAAGCAAGCTTGCGCAGGCTCAGGCGACGTAAAACACAAAGAAGTTAGTGGTCTTGAGGAGGGCAGGCAGCGTAATCGGCGTGACCGTGATGACGTTGCCGGGTGAAACTTCGATCTGGTCGAGAGGGAGCACAACCTGCACTTCCGCATTCAGTTCTTGAGGAGAATACATGGAGCGACGCGTCGCGTCATTCTGGTCTCTGCTCAGCTTGAAAACTGGGTAAACCTGGTCTCCAGGCAGCATCACGTGCTTGCGCATCCCCTGCCATTGGACCGGGTTGGAATCGACCAGGTTATACTCGCTGCTGCTGCAAAATGCTTCGAACGCGACGAACACACCAAGAACCTGCAGCTGCATGCTGCGCTGCTCGAACGAGCTCGCGGGCGGCAGCTTCACCAGCCGATCTAATTGCCTGCGGCCCACGAAGACCCTCCTCAGCTGCGCGTGGTCATAGGTAAGGATGACGGCCTGGCCCTCTGCGTCGCGGATGAGGGGGTGCAGGGCGCCGCCATACAGCAGGTGCGTCGGGTTGTTGCCGCAGACCGCCGGGCCCTGCTCGACGCCGGCGGGGCAGGAGGGGGCCGGCGGGGCGCCTGCGATGAGTGAGCCGCCGCGAGCCGGCAGCACGCCGGCGGCTGGCTGCTCTCTGAATGAGACTGTGGCGTTGCCGCTCTTAAGCGCCCGCTGGAGCGTCTCGAGCAGGTTCTCTGCACTGCCCTTGAAGGAGCCGGCTGGGAAGAGCAGCTCTGCGGTGATGTGGCCGTCGCCAAAGGTGGCCTGCAGGCTGACAGGGCCGAGGGGCGTTGCAGGGGATTGAGGCTTGGCAGCAGCGTCACCCTGCGTGGGGGATGCATGATATTGAGGGGTTGTTGGTGGCTACGGGTGTGGCGCAGCGGCAGAGAAAGGGTAGGGGCGGCGGGGGATGGAGGCGGGTGTTCGGATATGATGAATAGGCACAGAGCAGCTGACTTTTGTGCTGCGGGTGGGGTTGGTTCTTTGTATGTAGATGCCGGCTGAGGCTTGATAGGAGTTCATGAACGTCCATGCCGGCGGAACGCTTACACTCAGCATCTGGTCAGCGACCACTCACTTGGGACCCTGCTTGCGCGCAGAACGAGGCGCGGCGGTACAGCCTGCCGCAGCTTAGGCGCAGCAAAGTCCTGCTGGTGCTAAGCTGGTTGCCACTTGAGAGGCGGTAATGCATTGTGGCCTGCATTGCTGATGTTGCGATGGGCAGGAAAACAAGCCGTTCAGCCTGCGTGGTGAGGGCCTGAGCTTCAGCCTAGCTCGGTCAGTTGAAAGCACACATTCTTTGCAGTAGGCAGGTGATGTCTATGCACTATGTGCAAGGCAGGCCTGTGCGGTTGAACCCCAATTGTTTGCATATGTGTTAGTTCGTGAGGTTTGTGGTGACAGCGGGAGTAAAACAGGTGGTGCGTGCCACGTGCTGTCATGCGTGATGATCCTCGTTGACAACTGCTAACGTCGCTGCAATGCGGTAGAGCCGCATCATGCCTTGTTGCCCTCCAACCTGCTGTGGTGCAGCCAGCGCTTTGTGGCAGCCTACGCTATGCAAAGGCAGGGCCGATGGCAGTGGTGTTTCGGTCCAATCAATCAACTGCCCCAAAGTGTGAGCTGCAGGTCGTCCAAATGGCACCCTGTGTGAGGTGATCCGTATGCTGTGGTGAGGGCTCAGTGCAATGCAGCCAGCCATCCCTCAAATCCTAGACCCACAACAGCAACAATTGCAGTTGGTTGCTCACACGATGTAGCAGTTGTTACTAGCGCAGGGCCTCCCAGGATCAAGCAGGGTAACCTACTTTGAAAAATCAAGCGCTTGTCTGCAGCGTTATAAAGCCACCACCTGCATGCTCATGCGGACACATTAATGGCGCGTTCTAATCCTTGACTGGGCCGGGAGGACGGGGATGCACCGCAGCAGCTGTACAGCAGATGGAGCGCTGTGCTACCCGCGGCTGCAATCAGGCCCAGAGTAGCCGTGCGTTCCAGGCTTGGGAGGGGGCTGCCATGCAAATGGTGGCGAAGGGTGGGGGCTGCGTCATGCGGCGTCACCCGATCCTGTAGCCCTGCCACTTTTGCATGTCCTTGAGCTACCTGCGCAGCAATTCAAGCAACATTTTCTGAGCAGCCTTCTGGGCCGCCACCAGTTTCTGCGGTGTTCTTCGTATTGCAGTCTGCATTCTGGCCCCTGCGCATGCGCATTTCAACGTGTCCGGCCAGCAGCTGGGCCGCAGAAGCTGTAGGGATGGTCACGCTCGGCGCGCGTGCGACTTCCAAGGCAGCGTTGCGTGCAGGACGGCATATACATGATCGCCACACTGCGCTTGTGCGCTTTCGGCTTCAGATTGTGCCTGTCGTGCAAGCCTGGTTCTTATGTCTGTATGTCTGCCTTGGAACAGCTCTGCAGCCCAACAAATGCTGCCTCAGAAACCAAGAATCAAAACTTACAACCATGGGGCTTCGTATGGGGCAGATGCGTCGAGCACTACTCAGCGACCGCCTCCAACTGCTGCTCCCCTGCCTGCGCCGCCGCCGCCTCGCCGTGCAAGGCGCCCAGCGCGCCCCCCGCGCCGCCGCCGCTGCTGCCACCGCCACCGCCCCCGCCAAAGGTTGCCTGGAAGGCCAGTGTCCGCAGCAGCGCCGCTGCTAGCTGCTCCGCCTCCCCAGCGCCATCCCACCGCCACTCCTCCCCGATGCCGGCCCCACCACTCCCCTCCCACCCCGCCGCCGCACCGCCGCAGCCCTCGACACTCCTGCCGCCGCCGCCGCCGCGGGCATCGGCCAGCAGCAGCCGCGCGCGCGCGAGCGCATCTTGCAGGGTGACCCCCGCGACGCTCGCGGCCGGCGACGCGGCGGACGCAAATGGGCCGAGGGCGGCGCGGGCGTCCAGGTCAGCGCAGATTTTGAGGAGCGCCCTGAGGGTTCTGGGGCCGGGGGTGATGCCCAGGGCTAGGGCCGCCCCCACCAGCCGGGGCAGGATGCCTGCTGGGGGCGGGTGGGTGCAGGGAAGGGCAGGGCAGGGCAGGTGGGTGGGTGGGCGGCGGATCGGGGTGAGGCTGCAGGTAACGGCGG